CAAATGGCTGCACACAGCCGTGTACACACACAGCTAGTCACAAATCAAGTCAGAAAAGAAACATACAGGGAAAGCATATACCAGCACACAAACACGGAGTACAGGAATGCAGAATACGCTTACTATCGTTGCAAAGAAGAAATCCAGAAACCACACCGAAAGCTGCACAAGGAAGAAATAGGAGAAGCAGATAGTACTCATACCATAGCACCAGAAGAAACGCCCCGAGGGCACACATACCTGCAGCCACTTGCTAAGGAGAGACAGAAATACAGCAACAGACACACAAAGAAAGACACGTGCACATAGATACACACATAGGAGGGACAAGTACTCTGACACACTCATCACCCACAACCATTACAAAGGAGACAAATACCCAAGCAACACACACACACAACCCCAAAGAGATGAACTGCTCAGGCAGACAGTACCAATCAGGCAAGTTACATAGGAAAACACAGGTGCAGCTCACATACGCATGGTTGTGGCTGAGAACAGGCAGGTGAGATACATTCAGCGTATTCACACACACACACACACACACACACACACACACACACACACACAAACACCCTGCCCAGCCTCCTCCTGCCTCTGTCTCCTTTCCTATCTACTCTGATTTCTCTCTCCCCTCATACCCCTCCCCCACCCAGAGCCATTACACATCTGTGCTACCAGCTGGTCAGGGAAAGAGACACCTGTCACCAGAGGCCTTGGCCCACGTGGCTAAAGGTGGGGGGCGGGACACAGGTATACATATTTCAAGTCTGAAGTGTCCCATCCAAAGAACTAGCATACCTTATCTTGGATTTAAAAAAAAAGCAATAGATGGGCTGGGTGCAGTGGCTCACACTTGTAATCCCAACACTTTTGGGAGGCCGAGGTGGGCGGATCACCTGAGGTCAGGAGTTCGAGACCAGCCTGGCCAAGACGGTGAAACCCCATCTCTACCAAAAATACAAAAATTAGCTGGGTGTGGTGGTGGGCACCTGTAATCCCAGCTACTCGAGAGGCTGAAGCAGGAGATTGCTTGAACCCAGGAGGCGGAGATTGCGGTGAGCCGAGATCGTGCCATTGCACTCCAGCCTGGGCAACAAGAACAAAACTCCGTCTCAACAAAATAAATAAAAAAATAAATAGACAACCCCCCTCCCCTCTGCATCCATTCGCCACCTCCCTGGCATAGCCTCCTGCTCTGATTGCTCTCCTTCCCTCCCAGGCCCTGCCCCCACCGGCCTTCCAGCATGGCCCAACACAGGGAGGGCTACCAGGCATACAGTAGGTGCTCAATAAAGTCCACTTATCTAATATCGTATTATTACCATTACTCTTATTTCTGCCAGAGGAACTCTTCTAGGGGAGAGACGAACCTCTGTGCAGCTCTAAGAACCCCACAGCTCCGCTAAGTTTCTGGGCACTGCAGATAGTGGGCGCTCACCATAAGCCGGTCCGGCAGCGGGAAAACAAAGGGAAAGTGTGATCTGGCTGCATGGGGGAACCTGTTGTAGAAGGAACAGATGTCTTTAAGTAGGACTGAGGCCTTGAGGCCATGCCAGGGATAAGAACACTTTGTTAGTTCATCAAAGTAGGGCTTCTTCTCAGGGTCATTTAAGGTTTTTGTTGGTTCAGTAAAGCAGATCCTCGTCTAACATTTGGGAGTCCTGTGAAATCTGTTAAAAGTCACTTTGGGGGTTCTCATCAGTTCTAAGGAGACCTTTGATTAAAACAGGTCACTGCTCGGTAGCATCTAGGGGAGGGAGGGACACAGTTAAGCAGTTAACAGCAAAAGCTTTCTCAGCCCTGCCACTTATTAGCTGCGTGGCTAAACAAGCAAGTTCCTAAACCTCACTGCCTCTCAGCTTCCTCAAGGGCAGAATAACACCTAACTCACTGGGCTATTGACATGATTGAATTAATTACCACAGGCAAAACACTTAAGACAATGTTTGACACATAGTAACTGCTCGATACATATTTGTGGAAGGAATTAATGATTTCTCAGTGAAAGCCAAGTCCCATTTGCTGGGCTGCATATAGGATTCCAATCTGTCCTTTCATGCAGGCTCCCCACGGAGTAACTCTTTCCAGTCGCTTCCTTTCCTCAAAGCAGCCCCTGGGCAGCAAAGTCCTAGTCCCCTGCCCCTGGGCCACCCCCCTCTTTCTCTCCCACTGCTAAGATGCCCCCTCCGGGAAAGAGCCGGCCTGGCAGCTCCCTCTTCCTTGACCTCTCCAGGAGGCCAAGGGGAGGACACCTTTACACTCAGTGGGGTGCCGGGTGGGAGCTGCAGGCCGACACCCTACTTCGGGAAGATCCTGGAGAGTTCAGAGGCTGGCTCCTGTCCCCCGAACCCCCGGCCCTGCTGGAGGAAGCAAGTTCCTTTGCTAAAAGTTAAACATCCTCTTCATGAGCGGCAAGAAAACAGGACGTGGGAAGCGTCCCACAGGGTGAACATAGGCCCCCAATGACTGGCACCCCCTCCTCTCTTGTGGAGCGGAGGCCTGGTGGCTCGAACCCTTCCTTTCTCACACTTGCTCGCCTCTGCAGGGGAGTCCTGTTCCCACAGTCCCCACAATGCCCTTGAGTTCTGCTGACAAAGCTCTGGCTTCTTCCCTGATTCTCAGAGTCTCTACGCCTCCACCCAGGGCTCCATGAAAATGCAGGATGCACCACTGGGGTAAAAATGAAGGAACGAAGCAACAAAAGGATGAATTCAACCAACATTGATTGAACATCAACTGTGCACCACCCCTGTTCCAAGCACTGGGAGGCAGCAGTGAACATGACAGAACAGGAATCCCTGCCTGGTGAAGCTCGTGTGCTAAGGAATCAATTATTCTGTTCTTTATTTATTTTTTATTTTTTCTTGAAACAGGGTCTCACTCTGTTACCCAGGCTGGAGTGCAGTGGCATGATCAGCTCATTGAAACCTCAAATTCCTGTGCCTTAGCATCTCAAATAACTAGGACTATAGACAAATAGCACCATGCCCAGCTAATTTTTAAATTATTTCTTGTAGAGATGAGGTCTCACTATGTTGGCCAGGCTGCTCATGAATGCCTGGCCTCAAGCAATCCCACTGCCTTGGCCTCCCAAAGTGCTAGGATTACAGGCGTGAGTCACAGCATCCAGATTTTTTTTGTTGTTTGCTTGTTTGTTTTTTGAGACAGGGTCTCACTCTGTTGCCCAAGCTGGAATGCAGTAGCACAATGTCAGCTCACTGCCACCTCTGCCTCCCGGGTTCAAGCGATCCTCCCACCGTGGCTTCCTGAGTAGCTGGGACTAGAAGTGCGAACCACCATGCCCAGCTAATTTTTGTATTTTTAGTAGAGACAGGGTTTCACTATGTTGGCCAGGCTGGTCTCCAACTCCTAACCTCAACTGATCCACCCGCCTCTCACCTCCCAAAGTTCTGGGATTACAAGCGTGAGCCACCTCACCCAGCCCTTTTATTTTTTAAAGAGACATGTGTTCTCACCAAGTTGCCCAGGCTGGATTCGAACCCTGGGCTCCAGGGATCCTCCCAATTCAGCCTCTGGAGTAGCTGGGACTAAAGGTGCATGCCACAGTCCCTGACTAATACTCATATGCATGTTGTCAGGATTAAAATGAATGAACAAAGGGAAGGACATGCTGGAGCCAACTTGTACAAGTTGGGAGGAGCTATTCAATTTTCAGGAATTTTGCAAACTGGTTGTTAAACAGCTGGTTTAACAATTGGTTTTGTTTGTTGAGACAGGGTCTCACTCTGTCACCCACACTGGAGTGCAGTGGCACAATCAAAGCTCACTGCAGTCTTGACCTTCCAGGCTCATGCAATCCTCCCATCTGAGCCTCCCAAGTAGCTGGAACTACTCACGCACACCACCATGCCCGGCTATTTTTATTTTTTGTAGAGATGCGGATCTCATCATATTGCCCAGGCTGGTCTTGAACTCCTGGACTCAAGCGATCCTTCCACCTCAGCCTCCTAAAGTTAAACAGCTATGGTTAAAAATGAAATTATGTGGCCAGGTGCAGTGGCTCACGCCTGTAATCCCAGCCCTTTGGGAGGCTGAGGCAGGTGGATCACCTGAGGTCAGGAGTTCGAGACCACCCTGGCCAACATGGTGAAACCCCTGTCTCTACTAAAAATACAAAAATTAGCCAGATGTAGTGACTGGCGCCTGTAATTCCAGCTATTCAGGAGGCTGAGGCAGGAGAATCATTTGAACCCGGGAGGCAGAGGTTGCAGTGAGCTGAGATGGCACCATTGCACTTCAGCCTGGGGGACAAGAGCGAGACTTCATCTCAAAAAAAAAAAAAAAAAAAAGAAAAGAAAAGAAATGATATAAACTTACTCAAAATTTGTCACTTCCTAATTATTTTACCCCATTCCACTATTGTCTATGTTCTTGAGGTTATTTAGCTCCATTTTATCTGTATGGTAAAAATAATACATGATAGTGCACTACTGCATCTCTTTTGAATTCCCTGTTCAGTGACCACAGGTCGGTACCTTGAAATCTAACAAGAAGATTGTACCTAAGCCACGGAAATTGGCAAATGCTAGAAACCAGTCTCCCTTCCCCCCGCCACCACCCCTGCTCCAGCCAGTGGTTAACCATTTACCAGCACACCACTGAGGGCATTTAGAGCCTAGTACACGGTAAACGCTATGATAAACGTTTTCATTATATTTCCGTTTGTCCACTGGGTCAGGATGTATAGTCTTTTTTTGTGTCTGGGTTGTAATTTAAAATGTTTGAAGATGACAAAATTACGAAGGGTCAGAGAGTGGCTTAGCTACACCTATTTAACCTCCAAGTAATGCTGTGAAGTCTGTACTATTGACTATCCCCATTTTCCAGACAGGGAAACTGAAGTTCTAAAGCGGTAAAACTCAGCCAGCGCCATCCACTAGCTGTAGTGCGATCTGAAATTGCAGCAGAGCAGCCTCCGGGCGCTAGTCACTTCAAGAACACATTTTCCTTACTGTCACGTTTATGCCCCCAGCGGTAATTTAGCTTCCCGGCACGCGAAAAATGAATGGGCGCCATCGTGCGCGTGGCATCTTGGGAAATGTAGTTTACAGGCTAAATGACAAGCAAGGTCCAAGAAGGGAGGGGCGGGGAAGCAAAGGATCTTGTCCTCGGAATAAAAAGAACAAAGAATCGCTGACAGCTTGCGCGTCGCGGCGCTGCAGCCACGCAGCGCGTGGATTTAGCCGCTTTGGACGTGCCCGTTGCATGCCGGGAAATGCAGTTCGCGAGCCCCAGTTACGTCGACACCAGACGACGGGACTCACGTTGTACGTTGAGATCAGGTCCCGCACGCCGGAGCCTGGGCGATCCACGATGCCGAGTTTGCCACGCTGCCACAGCCCATAGGCTTGCCCACCGGACATTCGGGTGGACTAGGAGCACAAACTGGAGCCCTACGACTTGTCGCCCGTTTGCGCTCTCGCGGAGGCACAGGCTGGTCGAGGACCACCCTGATCCAAAAACTAAGGTGGGACCCGGGGTGCGGAGGGCGGGGATGCGGGCGGAGGCTGCTGAGGCAGGCCTGCACTGTCCCACCGGTGGGGGAAGGAGGGAGGTCCGGCGGCTGGCACCTGGTGAGTTCTAGACCCAAGGTTTGTCTGCAGAAAGGGACCGGTAGGCGGGATGGGTTCAAGGTGGGGACATGGGATGCAGCGGTCAGAGCTGCCTGGAGGGGGACCTGGTGGTCCCGATGGAGCTGTGGTCTTTGAGGTATTGACAAGGAGGGACGGGGAGTGTGGTCAGAAGGCTGTTTAATGGGAGGCTGAGTGGAGCGCAAGTGTCGGGTGTTACTGAGGAATCAATGGGGGCGAATAAGAGTATTTTAGTCAAAGTGTTCATTGATTGATTAATGAGAGAGTGGCAGAGTAAGCAACTAGAATACAATGAGTGGTGGATGGGAAAGTGATCCCCGATGGATTGATGGAGGTATGATATTCAACAGGTTAATGGAAAGTGATGGGGCATAGTAATGGCAAGAATGATGGTGAGGCTGTGGGGGGAATCAGCAGATGGAGGTCATGAACAAGGGGCCGTGGTGAAAGAAGAGATCATGAGAGGCTGATGGTGTTGTAGTCAGAGTCAGTAGTTGGGCTATGGTGGCATGACCATCGAGGAATTAATGGGGACAGAATGAGCAAAGGGAGATAGTAAACTAGGGTTTTGAGGGGATTTAACTTTTGTGGATACATAGTAGGTGAATAGTAAACTGTTGGAGTGTCATCATCCAGTGATGGATCCATGGAGAGTGGGGTGGACAGTGAGGGGAAAATGGGGAACTGACGAATGATCATCAGGGAGTAATGTGTTTGTTAATAAAAGGGTTACAGGGCAGAGGACTAGTGCTGTGATCTATGAAGGGTATATTGGAGAAAACTAAGTTAATGGGGGCTGATAAATCAGTGATTGAGTGCTCAATGGGGAGCTAATAGCCATGATTCTCCAGGCATTAATAGAAGTTCATAAGGATGTAGTAATAATGGGACCGTTTAAGAGATTAATGGGGAATGGGGTAGAATGAGAGAGATATAGGGAGTGGGAGGTACAATGAGGTTGTATTAGGATAATGGTGCAAAGCAAGGGATTAATGGGAGGCTAATAGGACTATATGAATCTAGGGACAATGGGGACAACTGGGGAGACAGGCAGTGAGATGTTAATGGGCATGACATGGGCAGAGAAGGGTTGACAGTGACTGTTACAGGGTTTAATGTGTGGAGTGTGGGTGACAGTGATGGGAGGTGGACAGGTTCACAAGTGGGCCATCTATGGGATGAATGCTGGGTTTATGGGATCTTTTGTGGGAACTGTGGGGTAAGTGATGAGGGCAGAGGGTCTGCATGATAAGCAATGGAGCCTTCAGTGATAGGGTCCTTCGGGCCCTACAAGGTCAGTGGGGTCAGTGCCAGGGCTTCGGTCAGCCCATCTTCTGTGTGAGCTGTCATGTGGGTCAGATGAGCCCAGTTCAGTTTGTGTGGTTCTCTCCGCCCTATAGAGGTAGGTGATCGCCCAGTCATCTGGTTACTGATACTGGGAGGCACCAGCTGACTGTCCACAGGTCCTTGGGCAACTGGTGTATGAAATGGGACGGACGTCGAAGGACAAGCGGGACGTCTACTACCGCCTGGCCAAGGAGAATGGCTGGCGTGCCCGCAGCGCCTTCAAACTGCTACAACTGGACAAGGAATTCCATCTCTTTCAAGGTCCCTGACTGGCGGGCAGGTCACTGGGTGGTGAGGTGGGCACAGGAGATAGACAAGTTGGCTGGGTCTGCAGAGCTCCCTATGGTAGGTGGGCTGGCTCAGAGGGTCTCTGGGGCAGGGAGACAGGCAGGAAAATAGGCAGAATACCGGAGAGGAGTTGGACACCTGGGTAGTGGAGAGATGTGGGTGCTCCCCAGGGGAGAGGGGTGAACTTTGCAGGGATCTCCAGGTTGGAGAAGTGGGTGCAGCTGACCAGGATACTTTCACTATGTGTGCCCAGGCGTGACACGGGCAGTTGACTTGTGCGCAGCCCCGGGCAGCTGGAGCCAAGTGCTGAGCCAGAAGATTGGGTAAGTGTGGGGGTCCCAGATGGGAGACCCAGGAGGGCCGGCTAGGTGGGAGGGGCCAGGGAGTATAACTAGGCTGACATGGGTTGTGTTGTCCACAGAGGCCAAGGGTCCGGCCACGTGGTGGCTGTGGACCTGCAGGCTATGGCTCCACTACCAGGTGTAGTACAGATCCAGGGCGACATCACTCAGGTAAGAGCATGGCTGAGGGTGCTGGGGTATATCCTGGGTGAAGGCCTTTACCTGGGGTCTATGTAGAGTCAAAGAGAAACAGAGAGAGAAACAGAACGAGAGAGTAACCATGGAGAAACAGCCAGCAGGTCATCACTGCAGAGACACAGCAGAAAATGATGGTGCTGGGTCCCCAGAGATGGAGCCCAGTCTTAGACAGGCAAAGCCTGGGAATTTGGCTAACCCAGGGTCTGTGGGCCAGGACCATGGGCAGGTGGGATCTGAGGGCAGCAGTGGAGGGCCATGGGACCACTCATCCTCCCTCTCTCCATAGCTGTCCACTGCCAAGGAGATCATCCAGCACTTCAAGGGCTGCCCTGCGGACCTAGTGGTGTGTGATGGGGCTCCTGATGGTAAATAGCAACAGAAAGTGGGAGGCCAGGCGGGGTCCCTGTGTGTGTCCTTCTCTGGATTTCCCACCTTGGTTGACTTCACCTCTTCAATGACTCCCTGCTTCTCCCTTCTGCTGTCAGCTTTCTCCCACATCCAGCAACTTCTCCCTACCTTTGCTCCTGCTCTCTCTCTGCCTCTCTCTTCCTCCCACTCGCACCCCACCCTTTTGAGTTTCATGTCCATTGCCTACCTTTCCCTGCTCTCATCTCTCTGCAACTGTCCAATTCTGTTGCACTGTTCATTCATTTTCAGCCAGCCATCCGTTCAACATACATTTACTGAGCACCTGTTGTGTCGGGAAAACATTCATGAATAAAATTCCATTAATCTTTAACCTCATAGAGCTGATGTTCTAGTGGGAGCAAATGGGAAAGTAAATAAATGACTGAGCTTTGTACCATTAAAAGGGGATAGGGCCAGGTATGGTGGCTTACACCCGTAATTCCAGTGCTTTGTGAGGATGAGATGAGAAGAACTCTTCAGGCTAGGAGTTTGAGACCAGCCTGGGCAACATAGCAAGACCCTGGCTTCAAAAATTAGCTGGGCATAGTGGTGCATGCCCATAGTCCCAGCTACTCGGGAGGCTGAGGCAGGAGGATCAGTTGAGCCCACGAAGTCAAGGTTACAGTACGCTATGATCGCACCACTACAACTCCAGCCTAGGCAACAGAGACCCCGTCTCTAAAAAAAGGCGGTGGGAGTTAGATACTGTAGGGAAATCATTGAGCAGGAGGAAGGCAAGAGTACCTGTTGGAATTTTAAATGAAGTGGATGGGGAAGGCCTCACTGACTTAACAGCAGAGACTAAAGGAGGTGGAGAAGTAAGCTATGGTTATGTCTGGAGGAAGAGCAATCCAGGCAGAATTCCAGCCCATGCAAAGGCCCTGAGGCAGGAGGGTGTTTCGTATGTATGAGTGAAGGCAAGGAGATCACTGTGGTTGGAACAGAGTGAGGGAGAGAGTGGTAAGAGGTGACATCAGAGAGGTGACAGGGGACAGGTCCTCTTGGGCCTCATGGGCCATGGCGAGGATGTTGGCGTTTTCACCGAGATGACAGCTTGGAGAAAACCATGAAAGGGTTGCGAGCAGAAGAGGACCGTGCTAGGCTTGGATTGCTGTGAGCTGTGTGAGGGCCAAGGGCAGAAGCAGGGGCTCCAGGGTGGAGTAGTCCAAGCAAGTGAGAATGGTGGGGCAGTGGTGGAGAGGAGAAGAATGTCAAGTCAGATCTTTTGAAAGTAGATGTGTTGATGGCTTGAATGTGGGTGTGAGGAAAGGATGCGGGGAGGAGCATCAGAGATGACTAAGGTTTGGGACCTGAATAACTAGAAGGCTCAGATGAGATGGGGGGGTGGTGGTGGGAGGCGCAGGTTTGGGAAGGAAGGTCAGGAATTTGGTTGCGGATGTATTAGAGATGTGGAATATGATTTGTGAATCGAGTTCAGAGGAGCAGTCTGGGCTAGAGGTGGAAATGCTAATGATGCTTGTACGTGATGTTGTTTTAGAATTCAAATGAGTTATAAGGTTAGGAGCTCAGAATATGTATTCAGTTGGCAGATAGTAATTTGCATCCAGAACCTTAGCAGTAAGAGAACCTGGAAAATGTTTTTAGTTTCTGATCTGTGTGGTACAAGAAGCTGCACAGAGCCGGATGGGCCCCCCTAACACTGTTCCTCTTGCCACAGTAACCGGTCTCCATGATGTTGACGAGTATATGCAGGCGCAGCTCCTCCTAGCTGTGAGTAACCCTGGCCACCCCTGACCCACTGGCCCTCTCCTGGCTGTCTCCACCTCAGCCTCAGTTGTCTGTCCTGCCCACAGGCTTTGAACATTGCTACACATGTCCTGAAGCCAGGGGGCTGCTTTGTGGCCAAGGTAAGTCTCAAGGAAGCTGGTGGAGTAGAGAGAGGTTGCTGAGGGCCACCCTCACCCGCTATCTTTGCCTTCCCACCCTGCAGATATTCCGAGGCCGGGATGTGACGCTCCTCTATAGCCAGCTGCGGGTCTTCTTCTCCAGCGTGCTGTGCGCCAAGCCCAGGAGCAGCCGGAACTCCAGCATCGGTCAGTAGGGTGGAGGGGCCAGGCAGGCAGGGGGGCATCTCCGGGATACTGCCTGCACGAGAAGGAAGTGGAAGTCACACCTCACTCTGTATTCCTCCGGCAGAGGCCTTCGCTGTCTGTCAGGGCTATGACCCTCCCGAGGGCTTCATGCCGGACCTGAGCAAACCCCTGCTGGACCACTCTTACGGTGAGAGCTGGAGAGCACGGGCCACCCCCAGGGGACTCTGCCCCACCTTATGCAATCTAGGTCCCACGAGGGTCCACAGCCTCACCCACTGGTGGAGGCTCTATTCCCCCCATGGGAATTTTTTTCCCAAGGAGATCCTCAGCCCCATTTTCTGGTAGAAATTCTACCCTTTATGGGTATTTTGTCCCACGAGGAGCTGCAGCCCAGGCAGTCCTGTAATGGTGACTCTTGGGCCTGGTGAAAGTTCCATCCCAGGAGGATCCTGAGCCCTGCCCCAGTAGAGTCTCCACCTGCCTAAGGACACTGTCTCCTAGGAAGATCTCAGTCATACCCCCAGGTGGAAGCCTCCTCCATGTGAAACTTTTGTCCCTTCAGCCTCTAGTGGGAAGAGATAGAGAGCCTGCCCCTGGGATGACATTTGAGTGAGGGAGACATCATCCAGGCACATATAATCCAATGTCAGGTGGACATAAGTGCAGTGAAAAAGAGCAGGGCACCGATGTTTTAGAAGGGGTGATTACGGAGGGCCTCCCCGAGGAGGTGATCCAAACCAAATGAAGGATTTATGGTGGGGTGGGAAGAGAGTAGCTGGTGGATCTGCAGGGAAGGCCTGGCACCCATGCCGCTGCCTGTGTCATGACTGGCCCCAGGCGTCCTGACCTTGTTCTCAGTTGTCTCCCCCTGTTCCTAAGACTCAGATTTCAACCAGCTGGATGGTCCCACTCGCATCATTGTGCCTTTTGTGACCTGTGGGGACCTGAGCTCCTATGACTCGGACCGCAGTTACCCACTGGACGTGAGTGCCCGACCAACAGTAGGTGGGTGGGAGGAAGGGCTGTCCTAGGTTCCCAGGTCCTAACTGTCTCCCTACCCCTCTGTCCCTGCAGCTAGAGGACGGCTCAGAGTACAAGTATACTCCACCTACACAGCCCCCCATCTCACCACCATACCAGGAGGCCTGCACGTTGAAGAAGAAGGGGCAGCTGGCCAAGGAGATCCGCCCCCAGGACTGCCCCAGCAGCAGAGTGGACACATTTCCCCAGTCCCTGGCCGCCCCTCAGTGCCACACCCTGCTGGCCCCTGAGGTCTGGAAATGTGACTCTGAGCCTACATTGACCCCTTCCCCATTTGCCTCTCTCTGACCCAAACCTCATGGTTTCTGGGGCCAAAATTCTCTTTCCTGCCTCCCAATAGCTATAAAAAATTGGTAAAACCAAGCATAATGAATGGAAAAGTTTCACCAAACATGTGAGTCACTTTTCTTTTTCTTGGGTAGATGGAAGACAATGAAATGAGTAGTTCACCTTAACCTATTACGGTAAGTTTGCCTTGTTATCTAAGGGTTTGAGTAAGGGCCACTTTTATGAAAAACCTCAGTAAAATTTCACCTTTGAAATTTTTATGTCAACTGATAAGATTTTAATCAACAAGCCGTTTTCTAAATATCTGTTGTTATATCCTAGGAACTGCTTTGAGCATTTTACATTTGAGGCATTCAGTAAACATTTATTGAGCACATACTGAGTGCCAGGCATTGTTCTGGGTTTGTAGATACAGCAGGGAGCAAAACAAACATCTTGGTTCTCACAGAGCTTCCAGTTTGGGAAAGAGGCAACAATCAATAAAACAGTCCATGAGTGCAAGACTTTACATATACGCACACACACACTATATAGCTTGCATTTCTCCATTTACACACCTTGCAATATATGTAACATGTAAGAGTAATATGGGATATAAAAAATAGAAAAAAGTAAATCAGGGTGAAGAGAATCAGGAATTCTAGGCATGGCAGTTTTCATCTTTTGGTGTGTTTTTTTTTTTGTTTGTTTGTTTTTTTTTTTTTTTTTTTTTAGACAAGATCTCATTCTGTCGCCCAGGAGTTCAGTGGTGCCATCTTCCAGGTTCAAACAATCCTCCTACCTCAGCTTCCCCAGTAGCTGGGACTACAGGCATGCACCACCATGCCCAGCAAATTTTTGTATTTTGGGGGGAGATGGAGTTTCACCATGTTGCCCAGGCTCATCTTGGTCTACTGGGCTCAAGCAGTCTGCCCTCCTCAGCCTCCCAAAGTACCAGGATTATAGGCATGAGCTGTTGCGCCCAGTCAGTTTGCACTTTTTAAAAAGGATTGTCATAGAAGGCCTCAGACATTCCTCTGAGTGTAATGTTTGAGCAAAGACCTGAAGGCACTGCTGGAGGGAAGCTGTGTATTTATTGGAGGGAAGAGTATTCTGGGTAAAGGAAATAGCCAAGTCCCAAAGGTGGAACTGCACATGGTATAGGAGGAAAGTTTATCCATAGCCACATGTGCTAAAACTGCGATGTTAGAGGATGGTCCTTTCTGACAATGACATAGCAGCATATTCAGACTAGTCTGCCATCACAAAAAGCCACCTTTTTTTTGAGATGGAGGCTTGCCCTGTCACCCAGGCTGGAGTGCAATGACACAGTCTCGGCTCACTGCAACCTCCGTCTACTGGGTTCAAGCGATTCTCCTGTCTCAGCCTCCTGAGTAGCTGGGATTACAGGCGCCCACCACCATGCATAGCTAATTTTTGTATTTTTAGTAGAGACAGGGTTTCACCATGTTGGCCAGACTGCTCTCAAACTCCTGACCTCAGGTGATCCACCCACCTCGGCCTCCCAAAATTCTGGGATTACAGGCATGAACCACCGCACCTGACCTTTTTTGTTTTGTTTTGTTTTGATATGGAGGGAGTCTTGCTGTGTCGCCCAGGCTGGATGGAGTGCAGTGGCACTATCTCAGCTCACTCCAACCTCTGCCTCCTGGGTTCAAGAGATTCTCCTGCCTCCACCTCCCGAGTAGTTGGAATTACAGACGTGTACCACCACCTTACCTGGCTGATTTTTGTGTTTTTAGTAGAGAAGGGGTTTCGCCATGTTGGCCAGGCTGGTCTCAAACTCCTGACCTCACAAGATCTGCCTGGCTTAGGCCTCCCAAAGTGTTGGGATTACGGGCGTGAACCACCACACCCAGCCATAAGAAGCCACCTTAAGAGAAATTGAAACAGCAAGTCATTGTGTGAAAAGAGATTTACAATTTCTAATATTTAAAGGGTCCCATAAATCAATAAGGAAAAAAATGAGAATGGCCAGTAAGCATGTGAAAAGCTGCTCATCAGGAAAATGGAAGTGAAAACTCAAAATATTGACAACACTAAATATTTGGAAGGATATGCAGCAATTGAAAGCCTCATACACACTACTGGGCATGTAAAATGGTGCAGCCACTGTGGAAGACCATTAGGCATTATCTACTAAAGCTGCATGGGTGCCAGTTCCACTCCTAAGAAATGAATCCTAGAGACCGGGCATGGTGGCAGCTGCCTGTAATCCCAGCTACTCAGAAGGCTGAGGCAGGAGAATCGCTTGAACTCGGGAGGTGGAGGTTGCAGTGAGCTGAGAATGCACCACTGCACTCCAGCCTGGGCAACAGAGTGAGACTCCCTCCGTCTCCAAAAATAAAAAGGTCATGTGCTGTGGTTCACACATGTAATGTAATCCCAGTACTCTGGGGGCTGAGGTGGGTGGATCACCTGAGATCAGGAGTTTGAGACCACCCTGACCAACATGGTGAAACCCTGTCTCTACTGAAAATACAAAATTCCTGGGCGTGGTGGCACATGGCTGTAATCCCAGTTACTTGGGAGGCTGAGGCAGGAGAATCGCTTGAACCCAGGAGGTGAAGGTTGCAGTGAGCAAAGATTGTGCCATTGTACTCCAGCCTGGGCAATAAGAATGAAGCTTCATCTCAAAAAAAAAGAAAGAAAGAATTGAGTCCTAGAATGTTGCTAGCAGCACCATTTGTAGTATGCCCATTCCATCATGGCATACTCATGGTGAAGAACTGCACAACGACGACAGTGAACATCCTGCAATTATACCAAGTAACACCTTGTACTTATTCATTCAACTGAACATATATGTTTTATGCATTTTCTATATGTTACAGTTCACCATAAAAGTAAGAGGAAATGTCACAAAAATGTTAGCAGCAGAGTTAGCTGGGTGTGGTGGCACATGCCTGCCTGTAATCCCAGCTACTCGGGAGGCTGAGGCAGGAGGATCACTTGAGCTTAGGCTGAGGCTGTCGTGAGCTGTGACTGCACCACTGCACTCCAGCCTGGGTGACAGAGCGAGACCCTGTCTGTAAAAAAAAAACAAAACAAAATACTTTCGTTGACTTTTGGTTAGCTGGCAAGCTGATACAACTCAGAGACTACTCAATGTCAGGAAAAGTGGAACTTGTGGATGAACTTGTTTTCAAAATATCTCAACAACGAGGCCTGGACAAACAAGGTCTGAGGAGGGATCTGCAGCAACCCTGAAGACAACGAGGAAAGAAACCACAGAAGTCTGTCTGCACTGCAGTAGGAATTCTTGGGTGAGGTCTTACCTCTTTAAACATCTTCAGGAGTGTCCTGATTATATCCAGAATTTCCCCTAACGGGAAGGATTCTTAAAGACCTGGATAGAAGCGAGGGGTAACCATAAACTTGATGGAAGAAAATGTTACATCTTCATTTTCAGTAATATAACTGAAGTTTAGCCTTACTCCCAAGTTATAAATGCTGGCAACAAATCACAATAGTAAAAGTACCTGGGATTTTCCCACCAATACAAACCAGTTACAACTGTAATGTAACATAAAAAGGGCATCTTGAAGTATTGTTCATATTTGTCACCTCTTGGAATGATAGCAGATCTTATAATTTGATGTATTAATTTAAAAGCCCATATATTACTGCATCTCAATTTTGTTTCAATTTAATATATAGTAGTAATTGTAATTCAATGTAATTGGCTTCCATTATAATCGTGTGTGTGTGTGTGTGTGTGTGTGTGTGTGTGTGTGTGTGTGTGTATACGTACCTTTAAAAATATTCTGTGAAGGGGTTCACTGATTTAACCAGATGCCTAAGGGTCCCCCAGAACAAATTTATTTATTTTGAGACAGAGTCTCGCTCTGTTGCCCAGGCTGGAGTGCAATGGCGTGATCTTGGCTCACTACAATCTCCACATCCCGGGTTCAAGTGATTCTCCTGCCTCGGCCTTTTGAGTAGCCGAGATTGCAGGCATGCACCATCATGCCCAGCTAATTTTTTATATTTTTAGTAGAACTGAGGTTTTGCCATATTGGCCAGGCTGGTCTCAAACTCCTTGCCTCAAATGATCCACCCACCTCAGCCTCTTTTTTCTTTTCTTTTTTTTTTTTTTTGGAGAAAGAGTCTCGCTCTTGTCACACAGGCTGGAGTGTAGTGGTGTGATCTCAACTCACTGCAACCTCTGCCTCCCAGGTTCAAGCAATTCTCCTGCCCTAGCTTCCTGAGTAACTGGGATTACAAGTGCCCGCCACCACGCCCAACTAATTTTGGTAATTTTAGTGGAGATGGGGTTTCACCATGTTGGCCAGGCTGGTCTTGAACTCCTGACCTCAGGTGATCCGCCCGCCTCAGCCTCTTAAAGTGCTGGGATTACAGGTGTGAGCCACTGCACCCGGCCTCCAGAACAAATTTTTTTGGTTAAGAACCTGTCTTAAACATCAGAAAGTCTACCTGGACTGCCGTCCTAAATTTCTTTAACTTAACAAACAGGAGCTGACAGAAACTCCCCAGCTACCTGAGCAGAACTGTTTTCTACAGCTTAATCCTGTGTCCTTAGAAACACTTACTCACTCGGTGACCCAAGGACTATCCACACCACAGTCCAATAACCTCAGGAGTATCCACATACCAGTCTGCCACCCCAGCTGTTTCCACACCTGACTGTGATTCACCCCAGTCACAGTGTGTGACCCCAGGAGTATACGCACTCAAGTCTGGGACAAGCATTGTCCAATCTCCAGTCAGAAACTGCGTTTAAACTCTGGAGTGTGTGTTTCTAGGCATGTCTACGCTCCAGTCTCTGACCACAAGAATAACCACACCCCAGTCCATGTGACTCCGGGAATGTCCAGACCCCATTTTGTGTCAGTCTAGGAGTGTCCACACCATGGTGACTTAACCCAGGAGTCTTCTCACCAAAGTCGGTGTGACCACAGGAATGTCCACACCCCAATCTATGAATATGCACAGCCCAAGAATGTATGGTGGAAGTGTCCACACAAAAGGCCGTGTGACCACAGGTGTAGCCACACCTATTACAGTGCAAATTCAGCAGCATTCACACAAGAGCCTGTGAGACCTCAGGAGTGTCCTCACGCCAGCCTCTGTGAGTCCAGCAG